ACTTTGCTTTTTTGATTCTCTTTCTCTATCTTTTTCAAGTACTTTTTGTTGAATACTACCTCTGGTACATTATCTTTTTTCCGTATCAAGCTTGAGATGTTGCAGACTTCTTGTAATATGATCCTTTGTCTTTGGCTATTTTTTTTAAGTTTAATTCCTTCGTTGTATGCTTCTTGTTGACAAAGTTCTTTATGTGAGTTTTCTTAGTCTTCTTCTCATATCTCTACTTCTACCATTTTCTTTTCTTTTCTGATAATGGACCAATTTCATTTTCCTCATTTTCTTTACCTCTTATGAGTACCTATTCTTTTTTCCTCTTGTCTTGTGAGATTCTCTTTTCAATTTCGTGTACTTGAAATCCTTCTCTTTTCTGGTATTCTTCGGTTACTTCTTTTGAACTTCTATCTGCTAGAATTTCATTCTCTAGAGCTTGGAACTATTTTGCTTTTTTTCTGATATGTCTCTTACCCTTTCTTACTTTAAGTTGTCTTCAAGTAATCATTTTTTTTCTATCATTATTTAACAGCTGGTTTATGTGTCATAAGTTGAGCTTAGTTATACCTTCTTGTGCTTCTTTTATGTTGTATCTATTAAGGATACTACTAATATAACAACTTTTTTTGTCCTGCAACTTTACGAAGTTCCAACTTTCTGTGAATTCATTTTTTGCGATACTTATACTGAACTTTTTTGCATGTTGCAATATTGAGGCTTCTAGGTTTCTATGCTTGGTTTTTTTTCAGTTCATGTTTTCTGCAATGAGAATACATTCTGGCATGTTCGTATCTAGTTGTGACTGCTTCAGCCTCATTAGAGTAGTTATGCCTACGATGCCATCTGTATTTATTCTTACAAAGAGCTCTGATATATGATGCTCTATATGTTTTTGCTATAAGCTTACTACTCCAAATATTTCTTTATGCCAGAGAGTTGCATTTGCGCATATAGATGGAAGTTCTAATTTCTATTTTATTAGTCTAAGCATAGGCTGGTGTATAGTATCACATGATCTTTTCTTGAGACATATATTTGCTAGCAAATATTCGAGCTTTGGGAGCAATACCATATTGTTTATATATATTATTTGAACTGCTGAGAGTTTTTTGTACCTTAATGTATATGTTAACTTTCCTACTTCTTTTTTGCATCGTAGGATACTTGTTCTCTCTTGTTTTTTTAAACTAATTCAAACACCAAGAAACCTCATATTTTCTTCTGGTTCTTTAACTTTGACTGGGCTTGATGGTGTTCCAATTTGAATGTATTCTTCCTCTTTTTCTTTTTTATGAGGTCTCCAAGCTATTGCTTCTGATTTTGCTCCGTTTATCTTGATATCATTTAGAATGAAAAAGCTATTTGATATGTTTATGATCTCTTGTAATGCAAGCTTAGATTCTGCTACCCACATAGTATTATCTGCATATGCCAATACTGATACCATAGCTTTTTCAGTTTTGAAGGTTCATCTTTCAATATCTATTGGCCATTGTAGCTCCATTTGATACCCAATTCCTAGCTACTGTATTCTTACTAGTAGTAGATCGTAAAATATTTTTCACATTAGTGGAGAGATCACTTCACCCTGGTCTATCCCATTACCAGCAACAAAGAAATCTGTTGGGCCTTTATCTGTTATTACCCTTATTTTACGATCTTGAAATAATTGCTTAATAAAGGTAATTAAGTTTTCTGGAAGCTTGATTCTTCTCATAGACAGCTCTAAAGCGTAAATGCTAACTGAATCAAAAGCTTTTTGCATGTCCTGAAATGCTATCCACAGCTCTTTGTCTTTTTGGGTTGCATCTTTGATAACATTATTTAGGACATGTATTGGCACTATAGTGCTTTCATTAAGTAGACCCACAAAATTCGCTCCTTTTAAAATTTGTTTTTTAACGAGGACTTTGCTTAGTCTTTTTTGAACAATTCTGACTACAAGTTTTCTAAATGTCTCAAGCAGCATAATTGGCCTAGTGCTTGCTAGATTAAATTCCCAATCTGTACTCTTAGGGATTAAATATATTTGCCCTAATTTCCATTTCTTCAGGAATTTTCCTTCATAGATTATTTTGTTTGCAAAGCTTATTAAGTATTCTTTTGTCTTAGCGCTTACTTTTTTAATAAGTCTGTAGCCGATTCCTGAGATACCAGGTGCTGTATCTTCTTTTAGTAAACTTGTGACTTCTGACCATTCTTCTTCTGTTATTCTGTTCATGACTTCTAAGTACCAAGCATCATTTATTCCTTTTATGTAAAACTACTAAAAATTTATGTTTATTTACTTCTTCTCGCAAATCTATTAAACCTTGAAGATATCTATCTACTTTTCCATAATCATCTACAAATTCAAAATATATTTTTTTACTAACTCTTAATGATTGAAGCTTAATTTTTTCATCACTGTTTAATAAATTTGAATCTATAATTCTATTATAAATTTCTCTTTCAATTTCTACTATCTCTCTATTAGAATATATTGCATTATTTATTAATTTTTCTATCTCTGCATATTCAGATGATCATATTATCTTTGTATTTTTAAAAAATATTTCTGTTTTTATCATTAAATCATAGAGAAAAGCCAGATTTTTATTATTATCTGATGAAACTATTTCAGTTTCTATTATTTCATCATAACAACAATACTCAAAAGGGTAATTATTATATTTACATTTGCATGTATATGAGAAAACAAAACTAAAATACATTAAAACAAGAAATAAAATAATTTCATTTTTATTTTTAAAAAAAAATAACAAAATACATGTGTTTATATATCTAAATAATTATACATTGTAAAGTCATATCATTATAATTTAAATAAATAAAAAAAAATATAAAAATAAACTTTAAAAAAAAACTTATTATCAATGAAAAATGTTCTATTCTTTGTCAATCACCAATTCTGATAAGTTCATCTAATTCAGGTTTAGTATTAGGAGTATTATTATCATTTTCTGCTGGCATTTTTCCTATAATATCATCTGCTTTTTCTTTTATCTTTTTGATAATATTATCTTTAGATACTTGGTCAATATTCATATTTTTAAGAACATCACTAATAGCATTTTGAACATTTGTTGTGAAATTATTAAATTTTTTAATAATTTCATTATATTTAACTTAAGCATCATTTCTTTCTCCTTTTAATTTTGTTACTATATTTGAAATTCGTGTAATTTCAGCAATTAATTGTTGACTCATTTTTTTTTTTTTGAAATAAAAATAAAAAAAATTTCAGATTTTATTTGAATAAAAAAAAAAATAAAAAAAATACAAAGTATATATTATATTTATTTTACTGTAATACAAAATACTAAATTAATTATCCTGTAACTTCTCTAGCAGCTGCTAAAGCAGCTTTTATATCTTCAGGTTTAGTTTCATTTTTAGCTGGAAGTGCTTCTATTATTCTTTGTGCTTCTGTATTGATTTTTTCTTCAATTTCTTTCATTAAATTTTCATCAATATTCAACTGTTTCATTCTTCTTTAGCAGTATCTTTAATTTTTTTTGCTAATTCATTAGTGATTTTGTCAAGTTCTTCATTTTTTTTAAGTATATCATCTCTTTGAATTTTTAAGTTAGATACTAATTCTTTAAGTCTAGCTGCTTCTTTAGCTAAAGCAACTTTTTGTTCAATAGTTATATTTACACTCATAATGTTAAAATTTATTTTCTTAATAAAATAAAATATATTTATATTATTTTATAAAATTACGTTTTAATTTCAGTTATTATTTTTTAACTAAAATATCTAAAATCTTTTAATCTCTGTAATAAGATTACACCTTATACCCTACATATCATTAAACTTTTTTCAGTAACTGTAATAGAATTATGCCTTATACCTTGCATATCATTAAACTGTTTTATGCATTACATATCATTAAACTTTTTTCAGTAACTGTAATAGAATTACGCCTTATACCTTGCATATCATTAAACTGTTTTATGCATTACATATCATTAAACTTTTTTCAGTAACTGTAATAGAAT